AAATTGCGTGCCCATTACAAAATATGGAGATTGTAATTCCTTGAATATTCATTATATTAATAATTTATTTGTGATACTAATTGTAAATCACACAGTTCTGCAATTAGTAATTGTTCTGAGAATTGGTCTTTTATTGTTTGTACTTCGTCCATAGGATAAAATTGTTCCGGGAAATTATTTCTTTCTACTTGCGATACTAATTCGTGTAATTCCGTGATTAGTAACTGCTCTAAAGAATCGGTTTCTGAACTAAATATATTAGATGGTTCGTTTGGCAAGGATTCTATTCCTGAGTCAGGGGGAATTCCTTTGTTTGAGATTGATGATAACTCTGGGAAGTTGGTTCTGAGATCAAAATAATTAAGAGTTTCTTCTATTAAGGAATCGATTGAGCTTGGTAGTTCGGGAGTCGAGAATTCAAAGGAATTAAGAGGTTGGTTGATCGAGAGTTCTGTCTCAATATGAGGGGGAGTTCCTTTGTTCGCTACGAGCTTATTGTCAACATTTAGCTGAATAGATAAAGTCTTTAATCTTTTTATAGTCTCCGGAGAAAAGGTAACCTTTTCACACGATTTGCTGAATAGATAAAGTCTTTAATCTTTTTATAGTCTCCGGAGAAAAGGTAACCTTTTCACACGATTTGATGCAAGGTTTATTATCTGGTGACCGTCGCCTGAGCCAACGTAGAGTAGATGCGGCACGATTAGCACGAATCTTTTTCTCAGCTCTGTGTTTACTTTTATTCCGACGTGCGATCTTCTGTTTTAATGTTTTCATTTATAATACGTTATGGAATAGTAGAAAAATGGTTATCAATTTAATATAAGGGTACAAATGAGAAGAATGTATTGAGAGAGATTGCGTTTATTGAACCAATTCCAATAAACTAAGGAATTTATCAAAATAATATTTGTTAAATTATTGATCTCCTGGTATCATTTTATTAGGAAAGAGAGAGATTGAGGAAACGTCTACAATCAGGGCAGCGAGGTGCATGACATAGACAGTAGCACTCTTAGAGGTGAAGGAAACGTCTACAATCAGGGCAGCGAGGTGCACGACATAGACAGTAACACCCTTAGAGGTGAAAGGGAGTTGGTGAGAGAATGGTCTTTGGTGCGCAATTCAGAGCTCGAGGCGATAGAAATATGAAAATGAGAATGAAGGGAATTATTAGAATAATAACAGGAGATCTCTCTTTAAGTTAGAATCTAATATCTAATATTGATGTATAGGACGATTGGAAGAAGATTGGATAATGATTAAAGGAAATCTGCGCGACCTTCAAAACTCGTTCGAATTTTTATGTATGCTGGAGTGTTGGATGATCTGTGTAATTAACAGACTCCTACCTTTAAGACGACGAACTCTTCGTAGACCTGTGATGTGCCTGGCCAGCTTTGCTCTCTCGCAAGGACCTCGGTCGTGGGGTGCTTATGGCGAAATCAAACACTAGGTTGTACGATGCACTGAAGTTCTTTATTCGTCTTTTAAGCTAGTTACAAATTGTGTGCGATTAAGAATTAAGAAGTCAGCGAGGTCGACGGCTAACCCGTGACTTGAACAATATACGAAGTTACAAATTTACGCGGGGTTATAGCAATTAGGCGTCCTTGACAAAGTTATATATTCCGAGATTCGCGTTATAGATCGTTATGATCTTTTTAGGATGATACGAAATTGTTGCTGCACTCCTCGACTCGCGACAATTTAAGATGTAACTCTTATGATGAAATACCGTCGCGTGATTTTAGGATGGTATGAAATTGTTGCTGCACTTCTTGGCTAGCGACAATTTAAAATGTACACTGTAACTTTCTATGATAAAATGCCGTCGTGCAGCCAGATTTTCTAGGGTTTATATACCCTTCGAAAACGAAAAATCTTGGTGTCTCGTGCAAATTTTTGGGTGAGAGGATTCTCATAAAAACGCTTTTCCAGAAAGATATCATAATAAATTCTCTTATAAAAGAAGGGGGTGGTTTGGGGGTCCTGAGAAGGCAACGAGTGAGTTCTTCTTTTGACCAAATATGGTCAAGAGGATCTATCATGACCATATAAGGTGATAGACGATGAGAAAATCTAAGGGAGAATAAGTCGTAAAAGTCTATGATTTGTTGGTTCTCGAGGTTCATGACGTGCAAATGTTAGTATCCCAAAAGGCGCGGGGTTGCTTATCGTATCAAGATCGGGGGCGGTCCGGGCGACAAAGAATTAAAGTTCAAACGGTAGCCGCACGTTGCGGTTCTATTGTTCGCTTGCTAGCTTCTATACATTTCTGAAATCGCTCTCTATATAATTCTCTGCTATATTCTAGTTATTGCAATATAATATAATAAAATGAAGTTATGATTGCTAAATTATATAGTTATGATTTCACAACGTAGTATATTCTTATATAGTTACGGTGAAATATTGTTATATTCATGGAATCCTTATTTATGTAAATATATTGGAAAAAGAAGAATAACATCTCTGATACTAAGTTGCAAGAATCCGAGTAGTTTCAATCATTGATAATAGTGATAAAGATAGTAAGGTTCCATAAATATAATTACAATTGAGGCGCATCGTTTACGTTATCTTATAAATTAAAGAAAAGATTTTATGGAATATTATATGACAAATAGTCGGTCATTAAAATTTATCAATTTTATAATTCATTCACCATTGTGTGATTAAGATATTTATTCAGACGATTCATCATTTTAATTATTCCATAAATAAGATTACTCAATTTCAAACATGTTGATTATAGGGTTCACACATTGATTAATAGGTTTGCACACATTGATTAATATTTCGCATTTATCGTTCATACCGTTAGGGTTGTAAGAGATGGCGACGATTAGTAATTTATAGGTTTGCGCTTGTTGTGTTGGATTGGTCGCGTTGCTAGTCTCTAGACTAGTTACAACTAGAAGATTCCCTATGCCGGTATTACTAACGATAAATGGTAAAAACGTCTAATTCTAAGTTAAATCATTCTCAAAATAGTTAATTATGTAGGTTCTCGCAAGAAATAATGTTAGCGCGAAAAATTAGGGTTTCGACCAATGGGAGGACGTCACAGGGGAATGGCTGTGATTGGCCAGTTTTACAACTATGGATGTTATTAAACCCGATTAAGGGTGCCGTGTAAACGTACTCCATGATACGGAAATCGACATGCGGAACAGAGAATGCGTGAATTGAACAATGATGTGAGCCAATCAACGCTCTTCCGCATTTTTTTGTACCTTTTCCGTATGCGTTTACGCGTATATGCGTTGCGTTAGACTAGGTCTACAATAGGTGTAGCAAGCTCTAAGCCTTAAGAAATTCACCAATCACAGTTAAGAATGAGGGGAATAATCGACTGTTATTGATGGATTTTTTAAGGCTTAGAGCTTACTACACCTATTGTAAACCCGGCCTTACTCTAGCTAATCTACAAAGTTAGAATTAAAAGTGTCCTTTGACGGGTTCAGACGTGTTTTGTCTGAACTTTTTTTGCTTTGTTCCATTATACGGAAATTTAGAACTTTTTGTAACTTCTTTGTTTTAATAGCTTCTTGCAACATTATATAATAATTTGTTATCCATTTTTGTTATCCATCTTTGCTTCAAAACTCTAGACCACTGTCCTGTGCACATGATACGGAAAAATTATCAAAAATGCATCATAGGATTCAAAAACAATTTTTGTAATAATATAATTTTAAATTAAATTTATTTAATACTGTCGCAATAATATTTATTTCAACATTTTAAATATTATACTTGAATAAAATTAACAAAATTACTGTTTCGATGAAATACTTATTTTTTAAATTATGTATTTATTTCCCGGAACGCGTCATTTTCATGTCTTTCACGCACCGTGTGCACAGGGCACAGAAAAACATGCGGGATAGAAAAATGCGGAAAAGCGCTGATTGGATGTTCAATTCACGCATTCTCTGTTCGCACGTCGATTTCCGTATCATGGAATCGCACCCTAAGAGTGCCGTCACATGAGGCGTAACTTGCGTTAAGGCCATTGCACGTAAAAATTTTTAGTCGTAACCATAAGATTCTACTGTGACGTCCCATCTATTTTAAAATTTTCGCTTTTGATATAATTACATTACGTCGACATTACGTGCTACTCGTATCCAAGTAGAAATAAGATTACTAACAACTATCATGTACTATTATTTGCTTTAAACTTAATTATCTTTGCCTTTTTGTATTAATAGTTAAGACTATCGGATCTGGGGTCCCCAGCCAGAGAACCAAGCATCTCCATCTAGTCCTAACTACGCGACCAATCAGGCGTCGTCTAGGGACCCCAGAAATAGTGCGTAATCAGCGGAACTAACCAGATGTTCCCCTATAAGAATACTTATGTATACAATTCGATTATAAAGGCCGTGGCACATAAAAAACGTAAGCAATAAGACTTAAAGCGGGGAGCACATACTCTTGCATAAGCGCATAAGCATATGCATAAAGCGGGGAACACACACTTTTGCATAAGCGCATAAGCGTAAACATGAGAATCTTGATTGGTCTATAAACGTATGCATAAGAAATTCAACCAATCGAATTTTTTATGCATATGCTTATGCGCTTATGCAAGAGTTTGTGCTCCCCGCTTAAGAAATTCGATTGGTTGAATTTCTTGTGCATACGTTTATAGGGATGATTCGATACAAGTAAATACAAGTATGTATTCGATACTTTTGTTTCGATACTTTTAGAATCGAATAATTCTTTCGATACATACTCGGTATCAATAGAAAAGTACTTGTATCGAATCGATTTGGCGCGCATATCCGAGTAGTGAGTGAGTCACTAAGCCTGTATTTTTTAGCTGAATTAGTGCAGTCAGTTCAGCTAAAAAAAAACAGACCTACTATTTGCTTCAGTGCTGCCGTTAGCTACATCTATCTGTTCGTCGGTCATATTGTTTGCTGTGGTTTGCAATCGTGCAGTGCGTGCTTCTTGTCAAAAATTTATTAGTTTTTCTTGTTATCATGGCGCCGCCGAAATCTAAAGTATGGACATATTTTACAAAAGTGAATGACACCACGGCAAAGTGCAAGCAATGTTTTAAAAGTGTGAAGTTTTGTGGCAACACGTCCAATTTATTTAAACACGCCAATACTCACGGAATTGTTGTAGAAAAAAAACAACAAAAAATCAGCAATGTTTCTGAGCCTGATAAAACAAGTGAAAGGTATAATATGTACCCAGCAAACACCGATATATGTATAATTGTTACATTGCTATAATAAAACGGAATATAACAGGTAATATAACGTGTACGTTACATGTAACATCCATGTTAGTTGTAATTTCCCACTCATAGATGTAACATTTTAATATAACATATATTACATTGTAGTTATATTGTAATTATATATCAAATAGCACATTGATGTATTGATAAGTCAGTGCTATCTTGGGATATAATGACAATATAACTACAATGTAATATATGTAATATTAAAAATGTTACATCTATGAGTGGGAAATTACAACTAACATATACGTTACATGTAACATGCTTAAGTATAATAACATTTATATATTGTGTTTGCTGGGTATGTAAAAATAATTCTCTTTAATATTCTCTGATACAAAATTGTTATATCTGTACAGACTTATTTTTTAGGTTATGAGTCGTTATCTTTCGTTTGTCAGTAATTTAATTTTATTCATGTAGCTACGAGTAACTATTATATTATTTTGAATTTCGTAGTTACAAAATACGATAAATAGTATCGGGTATCGATAGGGCACTCCAATGGTAGATATCCTTCAACTATTATAAAATACGATTTATATTTCAGTTCAAAAAGTATAACAACGTCCGCTAAATCGACGAGTACAGTTGTTGAGGAGCCCATGTCTAACCTATCACAGCCATCAACATCAAAATATTCGGAATCAGAAGAAAAATCTGATATTGATTACGACGCCGATGATAGCGCAAATAGGACAAAGACGATACTGCAAAATACTTTAAAGGAGGCTTTTTCGCGAGTTTCGTCCAATAAAGGTAAAAAAATTATTCTTAGTACTTAATCATTGTATTTGATTGCAATTTTTTTAAAATAATTTTTTATTTTAGAGGAAGGTACAAAATATAACAAAATAATTCAGTCTTTGGTATTTTTTATCTGCAAAGATATGCGGCCTTTTAACATTGTCGAAGGAGAAGGCTTTTTATGTCTTATGAAGGAGCTGCAACCTAATTTTAAAGTGCCTGGTGCAAAATATTTAAAAAAAAAGACTCAAGAAAAATATGAGGCTTGTGTGGCTACAGCTAGATCTAGATTGTCAAAAATAGACAATATTTGTCTCACACTAGATATTTGGACGGAAACGATGAACGAACGAGGTTTTTTAGGTGTGACAGCACATTTTCTACAAAACGAAGAAATGTGTATGTTTTACCTAGCCACTCGTGCGCTAAACGAAAGACATACAGCTGAATATATATCGGAAACACTTCTGGATATTCTTGATAATTGGAATATATCACAAAGTAAAATTCGTGCCGTGGTGACAGATAATGCCAGTTCTATGTTAGCAGCCATAAGAACATCTATTGGTGAAAAGAAGCATTTGCCGTGTTTTGCGCATACGATAAATCTCGTTGTTGGAGAGGCTTTAAAATTACCTAGCGTTAAAACAGCTATATCTAAAGTTCGAGAAATTGTGCATTGGATAAAAAATAGTGTTGTGCAGTCAGACAAATTAAAAAAAATTCAAATGCAAAACAATATTCCTGAAGGTTCAATTTTGAAACTTGTTGCTGATGTTAAAACAAGATGGAATTCGGCCTTTTTCATGTTGGAGCGCTTCTTACATTTGAGAAGAGTGATATCTGAAATCGTAATCGAAAGTGTTTCAGCACCCGACATGCCAACTGCTGTAGAGATGGAAACACTCAACCAACTTACAGCTTTATTAAAGCCTTTTGAATACGTCACAAGAGAAGCATCTGGACAAAAGTATGTCACGATATCCAAAATTATACTAATGATTAATTGTTTGTCAACCAAACTTAATAGTATCACACCAGTCTCACCAATTGTAAAAGAATGCAAGGAAGTTTTATTGAGAGAGCTGAAGAAAAGGTATGGATTAATTGAATGCAATGACCATGCAGCCATTGCTACTTTATTGGATCCAAGGTTTAAAAACCTGCATTTTCAAGATCCAGCAGCATGCGGGCAAGCCATACAAAAACTCAAAAGTATGGTTTATGAGCAACAAAGTAGTCCAAGTTTGGAGGAAGATGCTTCGTCTAGTGTAACACAGGAATATGACTTTTGGAAATATCATAAAGAGCTAGTGCATGGTCACAAAAAAAAACAGAAAACGCACCAAAGTGATGAAATATCTCTTTATTTATCAAACTCTGTAATATCTTTGAAGAACAACCCATTTGCAGAAGACATGAAAGTCATTTTTCCTCGTTTGTACAAATATGCTCAACAATATCTTATCGTCGTTGCAACATCTGTGCCTAGTGAATGCTTATTTTCAAAAGCTGGTGCAACTATGACTCAAAACAGAAATAAGTTGTCTCTTAAATATTTAGAGCAATTGCTCTTTTTGGGAAATCTTCCAAAAGATGACTTTTTTGTTTAACAATTATTATTAATAAAGAAATAAAAGTATTTAACGTGTTTTATTAGACTATATAAAATAAACAATTAAGTAAAATATCATATACATTCAGCATTAATTTATTTGCATAAAAAAATGAAAAAAGTATCGATACTTTTGGAGTACTCATATGAGTAGTATCGCTCAGACGATTTGAGTACTACTCATTTGAGTAGGTATCGATACTTTTATGGTATCGGAACATCCCTAATCTATACATAGCGATGATGACGATGACGATGACGGTGATGGTGGTGGTGACGGTGATCGTGGTGGTGATGGTGTTGGTTCAAATGGCCAACATTTTTCACTAGTTTCACTTCAAATTCTATTACATGTATACATATCTCGAAGCCCTATATGTATCTTATGTTTATAACATACTGTTTTTGTGTGTCCAAGCATTCCAAGCTTATACATAAGGCATGTATCTAACCTACACTTCTCAGTTTTTTTAATCAATGTTCACGAGCTCCGAGATAATTTTGCACTTTCTTTGTATGCGGTTTTTGCACACCAAGTTCGCGATTTCTTAACAATTGTACAACCGAAGTCACCGGAATGTTCTTTGCTTCTTTCTCTTCACGTTTAACACCAAACGGGTTATCTTTTTCGTCATGATCACAATCCTGGAGATGTTTATACCATTTCTCGATATTCTCATAATACCCGAATGATTTTTTCTTGTCTGTCATATGCACTGCGTTCTCCATTTTATTGTCTATTACTTTTCACACGTATTACACTTGTAGTCACTAACCTCAGCCTATTTTCGCTGACATTCGCTGCAATCCCTGATCATCGATGCTGGACCGTCAATGTGCGTTTGCATCCACGGTCGATTGTAATGTTCGAGGCAGCGACGATATGTCTGAACCTCCGGATCCGCCTTGATGTGCTCCAGAAGCTTGTCCCACAAATGTTCTATAAAATAGCCGCACTTTTGCAGTAAAACAATCTTCGGAATATATTGCAGCTGTTCGGCACTTAAACTGAGAATGTCGGAAGCATTTGATAGCATTACAAACATCTTGCACCCCGAATAAGGAGAGCTTGCGCTCGCCAGTGGTCACCGTACTATTACCCGGCAGCGACATCGGTTCTCATTATATATTCCGATCAATCTTTTGTTTTTCAACGTACGAACAATTGTTAATTCGCAAGAAATATTTGCGATATCTACCCGCTGATAATTCTCCGAAATACATAGATAAAGCCGCCCGTTATCTTCCTGGTGTAAATTTTACCCCGTCGCAAGCGGCGAAAACACGTCACAAGCAGCGAAGACATGTCGCGACGCGTTCGCCCCCGATGACGCAAACTTTCCCCGCTGATATTTGTTAGAAATATACAGATAATGTATAGATTAGCCGCGCTCGCAGCCACGTATGGGGGGAAGAAACGCAACCCCCTTAGTAATAGATATCTGATTGTCGGTGTTTGCTAAAAAAACGGCGGCAGCCCTTTTGTTCTTAATAATTCTTAGAATTTAATTAATCAGAATTTTTACCTTATCTTGTAATAGATATCTTACAAAGATGCCGCTTATCTTATCTTGTAATAGATATCTTACAAAAATGCCGCTTATCTTATCTTGTAATAGATATTGCTGTAATTATATTTATCTTTTGTTTATAAACATATCAGGTAACCTAAGCTAATAAGATAAGCTTATCTGCTGATAAGACCCTCTCCCCCGCGTGATGTCACCCCCCCTCGCCCTCGATTCCCCTCCCCCGCCCCTCACCCCCCCCTTCATTGCCCCTGGTCCAAAACTCTCCTAGTATATCTACTTTTATATATTTATAACTTAAAAGGAGAGGAATTTATCCTAAAATAAATACAATTTTATATTAATATTTTTTTAATTGTTAAAAGTGTGCATTTATAAAATATGTGTTGTGTGTGTGTAACTTTGAAAATTTAATGAATATAAAAATACATAAAAAAAGATACAATCGATACAATCATACTAACACAAATAGATAATATATAAAAAGAATCGGTGGGGGTGACGGCGCGGTGGAGCGGTGGTGACGGCGCGGTGGAGCGGTGGTGACGGCACTTTGACGCGAGCGATGCTGCGGCGGCAAGCGGTGGAGTATTATGACAACCGGATGGGACTCCTGCATAACATAGAAAAAACAATATTAGGAATTTTTATAAATTTTTTTTAAAATTAATACTTACAATCTCGGTTTCCTTGTACCTGACTCTTCAATTTCTTGGTCTGAATTTGTGTCATATTCCGATGATTGCGATTTACATGATGTCGATGGTGAAGGCATATCCTTCTTCTTCACGTGCCCTGCCCGGTCGTCCTCCGGACGTTGGCGATCACTCTGGCCATGGTAATTCTATCCACCGCTATACGAAAGAGCTCCTCCGCGCTTCGTATCCCAGTCCATGCTCTAATATTTCTCAGCCACGAGAGTTTCTTCCTTCCGATCCCACGTCGGCCCTCAATCCTTCCCTTTAGTATCAATTGGAGGAGGCGGTATTTCTCCCCTCTCAAGACATGACCAAGATATTCGATCTTTCTGCATTTGACCGTTACTAGCAGCTCTCGTCGCGCACCTGATCTCCTCCAAACATCAGCATTTGTGACTCTGTCAACCCAGGAGATCCCCAGTATACGTCTCATGACCCATATTTCAAAGGCTTCCAGACGGTTCAGCGTATTCGTTTTGAGGGTCCACGCCTCCACACCGTATAACAATACCGACCAAACATAACACTTGACCATTCTCCGTCTTAGCCTCAGATTAAGGTTGTCTTCGCAAAAGAGAGCCCTCATCTTATTAAAAACGCCGCGAGCAATCTCTATCCTATGCCTAACCTCCCGATCGGGGTCCAGGTCCTCTGTAATCAGGCATCCCAAATACATGATCGACGCGACACGCTCTATCCTTACATCATCAAGGTGCAGTAGGGCGTTCTCATGGCTATCGCGGCTGAAGACCATCAACTTCGTCTTGTTTGTGTTGATATTTAATCCCATTCTTTGTCCAGCTTCTGAGATCCTATTTAGAAGCAGTTAAAGGTTCCTATGTTATCGGCGATGACCGTGTCGTCTGCGTATTTTATGGTGTTGATATATACTCCATTTACCTTGATTCCGAGCTCTGTGTCACCTATAGCTTCCTTGAAGATCTTGTCTGCGTAGAGATTGAACAAAAGGGGGGAAAGAATACACCCCTGTCTAACACCTCTTTGTATGTCCACCCTTGAGGTTGTCAAGTTTCCAATTCTTATTTCAGCTTTTTGCTGCCAGTATAGGTTTTTTATCACCCGGACATCCTTTTCATCCACTCCAGCCTGACGGAGAAGCACAATAAGTTTGCTATGCAGGACCCGGTCGAACGCCTTCTCGTAATCTATGAAACATGCAAAGACATCTCTCTGGTAATCTCGGCATTTTTGTAGGAGGACATTTGTTCCAAAAATCGCTTCACGTGTGCCGAAGGCACTTCTGAACCCAAATTGCGAGACATCCAAGTCCCATTCACACTTTGACTTTATACAAGCGTGGATTATACGGAGGAATGTTTTCAGCATATGGCTCATGAGGCTGATCAGACGGAAATCCGCGCATCTTTTTGGCCTCTGCTTCTTTGGAATAGTAACAAACGTTGATATCAGCCATTCTACTGGTATTACCCCGGTGTTGTATATCCTATTGAACAGTCCTAGTATCGTCTCTATGTTGTCCTCGTCTATCAATTTTATTAATTCCATTGGAATCTCATCTGGACCCGCGGCTTTCCCACTCCTGGCGGATGTGATGGCATGCAGCAGCTCCGATTTGAGTATGACAGGACCCTCCGGCTCCTCCGCTCCAGCTTGGATGTCCGATCTGGCGTCCTCAAAAAGCCCGGCCACATACTCTTGCCAAGTACGTTTAATCTCGCGCTCCTCTAAGATGACCTTGTTCTGCTCATCGCATATAGACACGGGTACACGTCTTTTATATAAACCCACCACTTCCTTCACCTTTCTGTGAATATTAAATGAGTCATGCCTCGATATAAGCCACTCTAGTTCTTCGCAAGGCATATCCATTCTACCAAAATAAAAGTTCTTGGATTCATTGAAATAATCGACACAGTTTTCATAGCGACGCTGAAAACATGCGACTCGCTTGTGTTGTTTAGACGATTTGGTGCATTTAGACAACTCACCAGTAATTTTTAAAATGTCTTTGTGAATTTCCAGGAAATCGGCAACATCTCTTGTATGCGATTTTTTCACTCTGAGTTCACGATTTTTTATATATTAAACAATCGAAGTCACCGGAATGTTCTTTGATTTTCCTTGCATTGCCATTTTTACTGTACATTAAGTGTTCAACGCAATTTCTCTATTTTTAATGTGTACAAATGGGGCACATATTACATGGCATTATTATATTTAACGAATCTTCGCAATATCAGGGATATCAGGGACGTGCTTCGGCAAACCCAAAGGAGAGTGGCTATCCGCTATGTCCGAGCATATAGAACAGTGTCGCATGCAGCTGCCTCTGCCCTGGCGGGGTTGCCCCCCATGGAGCTACTTGCGTACACTCATAAAAGAGTGTATGAAAAGATAAGGGATGAAGGGATGAAGGGGCAGAATCAGAGGATCCCGCCGTCGTCGTCGTTAGCAACAAAACACCCCCTGACACTAAAAGGAGGAACTTGTTCCCCCGATAGTGTCAGAGAGTAGTGGCTGCCTCGTATACATGGAGGCAGCCGAGCTTTATGGGCTGCGTTTGGAAATCCTACCCGTGGGGTAGGGTAGAGTTAAGGCAGGGTTAAAGCAGAAACCCGGCTGGGTAATACCGAGTTAGGCGATTTTCCGAACGTACAAGGTAAACAAGTAAAATGGCGACTGTTCGGCGAAATCGAATAATATTTTTACTTATAATAAGTAGTCACCATTTATTAGAAATACTAACAAAAATTATACAAAATATAACAGAGGAAACTGAAAGTGTAGAAAGTGATGATGATTTTAGTGAAACTCTTTTAATCGAAAATATCCAACGAATCCGAGGAAAACAACAGAAACCTGCCCGGATAACAGGTTACGTGAATAATATAATTCCTCGTTACACGACAAAGCAATTTCGGCATCATTTTCGAATGCTGCCTGAAGTTTTTGAAATTCTTGAAAATCGTCTTGGACCGTCATTATCTAATGTCGAAACTGTAGGACGTCCAATGATACCTGTACGTACACAGCTTTTATCAACAATCTGGCTACTTAGCACACCAGATTCTTTCAGGTATATGGTATTTTATATACATAATAGTTAAATATAAATAGCAGT